TCTAACTCAAGGGTGGGAAACCTTTTTTTGGGTCAGGGGGCCGCTGACCTACAGAAAAATCAGTTGAGGGCTGCACACAAGTAAGAAGCAAAAAACAAAAACAAAAAAGTGGCCCCTGACTGAGAAGGAGAGAGAGTCCCCCATTCCCCTCACATCAAAGCCTGGGGGGCTCAGCCTAGTAGATTGTGTGTTCCAGCCTCAAGGTGGGACAGTAGAGAAGCTGGAGCACCAGTGCAGGATCCCCAATGCTGGGGAGGACCCTGAGCCTTGGGGGCCAGATCCAGGCAAGCTGAGGGCTGCATCTGACCCCCGGGCATGAGGTTCCCCACCTCTGCTCTAACTTATTGATATAGCCAGTGAATAGCTACCATTCAATTCACACACTGTGTGAAAGAATGGGAGCCTAGGCTGAGGGCCAGAGTGATTTCTGGTTCAATGGTGAATAAAAATAGGAGGTTGTTTGGTTAACCATCTCAATTTGTTGACTGTCAGAACTTGATCTGGAAATCCAAATCTTGAAATTCTGCCACTTCTAGTTCAATGCAATTCTTCTCAGCAGCATTACGTTTGTTCTTCGTTCCTTAGACCCCTTATAGCATCATTTTGAAGGATGAGTTTTGTATATAATTTGGAAAATCACTTTTTCTGTCTCTTTCCTTCAGAAGCTGAATGATCTTACTAATGGGTTGAATCGGTAATGTAAAATTTTGCTAGCAAATATTCTATTTGGGGGTTTTATAATGGAACATTTGGTTACACAGAAATTGTAAAACGGAGGCCAATATAATTCTCCTCTCTGTATGTTCTGGATTTCACCCATTGTGTAAATGAAACAGAAATCAGTTAAATTGAACCTTCAGCTCAACCAGAATGTATTATTGAAGAATGACTTGGCAAATTCTTTGGTTGTATCATATTTATGTAGAGAAGCAAAGCAGTATTTCTGATCTGAGAACACATTGTAATGGTGTACTGCAGGGCTACTCAACACGTGGGCCATGGGCCATGTGCAGCCTGCAGCCTATTTGTTTGCAGCCCGTGGTGCAGTTTGTGTTTAGGGGTTCAACATATGGTCCACAGGTGGGATCCTTTGACCGTAGCCTCCGCTGGGAAAACGCTTCACAATGGCGAGGTGTCTCCCAGACGGGGTGAGCACTAAAAGACGCAATCATATGGGCTAGCTGGAACAGACGGGTACAAGGTGTTGGCGTTTCTAGCCCCCAGGGAGGAGGTGCCGGGAGCACTGGGGCATTGTGGAAGTGCTTTGTATTCATTCCTGGTAGTGTGAAAGAAGCTATTTGCATGTATATTAGCATGTATATGCAATTACACTTAAGTTGCAGCCCTCTGCATGTGCTGTGAGTATCATTGTGGCCCCCCGGGCTTCCAAATTTGAGTAGCCCTGGTGTACTGTAAAGTACTACTACTTGAAACCTTAAAAGGTGTATCAGCAGTGAGAATCATAGCAACTCTTAAGATTACCTACCCTTGGGGAAATATGAGACAACAAAATGCTGTCTGCAAAAGAGATGTGAATGAGGAGATTGAGGGGAAGTAGAATAGATCTGCTAACCAATAAAAAAAAAAAAAAAGCAGAATGGTGGGTACACATAACATAACCACCTCTAAAGAAACCTAATTGAGAATGACCAGAAGGTCAGGGGGCAGTTTTCTTTCTCTGTTCCCAGAAGAAATCTCTAAAGTTGGGAGCCACGCACGGTTGAGAAGTAAATGGATGGCTACCTAGGCAATAGTGAGAACTCTGTTAGGGAGATGAGGATCATTTTAATATTCTGACAGATTTTGGCCAGCTGGAAACTAGAAATGGAGAACAGCACTTGTCTTTTTTGTGGATAGAAACAAGAAGAATCAAACCCTTATCCAAACACATCAGAAGCTCAAAAGAAAGTTAACTTAGAATGGGGAGAGCGGAGGGAGGGAGTTGATTTCAAGTCATTTGTTTGTATATCTCTCTATATATGAATCTATTTCCAGGCATGTCATATGTATTTTGGTAAATATAGAAGATAACTGCAAGTTATGAGAAATGACTGATTAAATCACAGAGCAGGCCTCTCTTTTTCATTGTTCTACTCATCCACTGCATGAAGCTTTGGCAGTAGTGAGACAAGATATACAGGCAGTCCCCGGGTTACGTACAAGATAGGGACTGTAGGTTTGTTCTCAAGTTGAATCTGTATGTAAGTCAGAACTGGCGTCAGCCGCTGCTGAAACTGATCGGTTTCAACCGCGGCTGAATCTGGACGGCAGTTCTGACTTACATACAGATTCAACTTAAGAAACCCAGGCGTCCCCAAGTCAGCTGCTGCTGAAACTGATCAGGGCTGATTCCAGGAAGCCTGGAGCAGAGCAACTCTGCCTCGGGCTTCCTGTAGTCAGCGCTGGTCAGTTTCAGCAGCGGCTGACTTGGGGACACCTG